AAAACTTAAAAAGCAACAAAACAATATTGAAATATAGCGAAATAAAACTTTTCAATTTTCATCATGAGAGACCGATAAAATTATGACATGTTACAAATATAGATGAATGAACGGAGTTTTGTGTGATGACAAACCGAAACGTATTTTCCTGGATTTCTGACAAAACAACGACATGGAAAGAAAAAAAAAAAAAAAAAAGGTGGGGGGCACTATCTACACTTGGAAAAACAACCGATTTGTTTCGTTTGAGTGTAAAAAATTTATCAATTTGTTAGCAGCAATAAAATGTCTGGGAAAAACAAAGATCAAAAAAGATAGATACGACATAGAATAGATTGTTGATTGAGAAAACTCCGTCTCTTCGCTTTGTTCTGTCACTTTTTTATTTTTGTCTATATGTCAACAAAATTCTTCAGTAAGAATTCAAAGATGCTCTTGAAGTGGATCTACATGAACATGGATGATTATTAATATTAAGACATATTGGATCGGTTAGCATTAAGAATTCTTACAACAGAACTAGAACAATAAACTGTTCCCCGATTTTATGACCACCACCAAGTGCAGGCTTGAAATACTTACGAGTAAACACGAAACCCAAATAATTTAAATACAAAATAGAAGATAAAACTGAAACTAAATAAAGCAATATACGTTATTTATTTAAAAAAAAAAAACCGCAGCATAAAACTAAATATTGCCTTATAATTACATGATTTAAGTACTTAAGGCCAATTTATGACAAGCAAGCATTTTTTTTTTTAGCAATTAAGCGCGCACTGGCGCCTGAGGTGTGTCGAGCGTCTTTCCCGACATTATTCTTTTTACCCACATACGTTACAATATGTTTTCAACGCACAAGACAAATGCTGTACTGTTTGCGTTATTTAACCAAAAAGAAAAATAATAATCGATTTGCCTCCCTTCAGTTTCACAATACATTTAAAAAAAAATAAAATAAAATACGTAATCATTGATTTTTTTTTTAACCATGGGGAAAAAGCCCCCTCCCACAGCAAAATATTATCGTGTCAGTTCTTAAAACAAAAAAAAAAATTTTTTTTTACCTTCTTTAATCAGTTACTTTCAAAACAAGTCGAAATAACGTCATTGAGGAGAGAGATGAATGTGAATCCTAAGACCACGTAAACCAGTCATGCTGTCATAAACCGAAACGGGTCTCTAGTCAAAAGCTAATACTTTAAATCAGTGCTTAAAAAAAAAAAAAAAAAAAAAAAAAAAAAATTACCCAAGCTTTTATTAATTTGTTTTCTGGGGGAGGGGGTGCAAAAGATAAAATGTTTGACTAAGAACCAATTATTTTTTACCAATAAAAACAAATTATTGACAATATCGACCATTTGCCAATTTCCTGACGTGCTATTTTTATTTTTTTTAATCTGAACTTAATCACTGCACTTAAAAAAAATTTGATGAACGTGTAAAAAATTAATTTCTCCTTCCAGCCAATAGCAGCAGTGAAAAATCCATTTCAAATAAGGGAAGTGCAATTTTTTTTTGCTTTTTTTACCTTACTAGGAAGTATGAAATTTAATATCATGTACTTTTTTTGTAGCGTTTTCGGTTTTCATTATTAAAAAAAATAGATAGTTTCATTTAATTTTTAACAAATGCAGTCAATTTACTTTTAAAAGTGAATTATTCTCAGATAAAATACAAACTTATAACTAGAAAATCGAATAAGTTTTTTTTAAATATATATTTTTAATTTTTGCAATATATTACGAATACATCTTTTTTTAATTAATATACCACGTTGCACTGATTTTTTGGATTTTCATTTTTGACAAAATAAAAAATATTTAAATTAACCTTTACGCGAAATAAGCGAAGTTTTCGTAAAAAATTATATCAGAAAAAAAGTATTTTAATGAATAAATGTTAATTGCAAAAGAAAGAAAAAAAACGTTTTTAAATTTAATCAAGTCATGTGCCAATTACCGAAAAAATGCTTAAATCAAGATATTAGCTAAAAAAGGGCAAAATAAAAAGGAATTAAATAATTAATAAATTAGTTTCTTCTGAAGACTTATTTGGCTTCTTATCTTTTTCTAAATTTCCTAGAAAAAAAAAAAAAATTACAAGCTACAATAGACTTACTATATTTCCAAATAACATGCGCATCTTTCTACAAAAAGGGAAGTTAACAGCGGTCAAATAAAAGAGGGGGATTGATTCATAAGCAAGACATAATTACAAAGTGAACCCCGATTTCATAACCACCCAATGTGCTGGTGGTTGTTATTGTTTGCCGCGATGTTACATCAGTTTGTCATTGTCATTTTTGCTTTCACTTTGCTTCATGGGTTTTGCAAAAACGACAAAGGTGAAATAAGACAAATTAAATACAAATCATTCTAAAATTGTCGCAAACCAAAAAAAAAAAAAAAAAACTACTATTAACTGAATAATGTATTAAAAAATAATAAACTGTTTAAATGTTAGAGAACTGTGTTTTTTAGATTAATTTTTAAATAACCTTCTCAGACAATAATAATATTATTCTTTTTCTTAATATGATAGCTTTAATTTTTTTTTTCCTTTTAATTTAAAAAAAAAAAAAAAACAAGAAATAAACAAATTTTTCAATTAAGTTCGTAGAGACCCTTTACCCCCCACCCCGAGAAACAAAATTCGAATTGATCTTTTGTTGTTGTTAGCATTTAGAGATGGGGGTCTCTAAAGAAGAATAAAAGTAGGTTTCTCCTGGCTTTCTTTTCCAGTTTAACTAAAAACAATACTATTTAGAGAGTTTAACCCATCTCGCTCTTCTTTCAAGACATGCAAGGTCACGTGATAACGACGGCTGGTCACTTTTAAAATCCAGCAACAATCGATATTCTCCCCACAGTCAGCTAAAAGCGGCATCGATGTCATTATCTATTTCCCTACTCCGTTACAATTTCCCAGAAAGCTAGAATATACACTTTAAAGACAAAAAGGAGTAAATCAATGAAGAAGCAGACTTACACTCTTGCTGCAATGGTACCAACAGTGGCCAGTACAGGTGACATGACGTAGGCAGAAAAATCACTCCTCCTGCTCTACTACGGTGGCCGCCATTATACATTTGCTAAATCTCGGATGGCTGTCACGTGACTTACAACGTCATTTGAGCGACGATACGGGTGTGCATTTTGCTACGCTTCTGCTATCATTAGAAAGCAAGAGCGCCTAAGACTTGGCATCAATCCGCACGTTATATGCGTTAAAATTATTATTTTAAAACCATTTAACAGTGATAATAGTCATGTTCTGAAAAATACACTGTGTAATTTAATGTAGTCTTAATCGTTACTTTTCTCTCATAAGACAATAAAGGACGAAACTAAACACTGATATTTGATTTGATTCAATTCAATGATTAGCAAGCAATGAATTAAAAGACGTTGTTGGTTATGTTAAAAATGTTTATTAATATCCTCAGAAAATGAATAACAGTGATTCTCTGAGTACATGTAAATAAACAGAAATAAAACAGAGTCTAAAAGATGGTGGCTAGAAAAACAAAGAATAAGACCCCAAGAAGTGGTTAATAAAGAACAAACAATAATTTAGATACTGACTTTTCTTTAGAATTTATTGAATATGCAAGATGTTTAAGAATGAAACTAATAATAACTCAATCTTTGGTGTGGCTATTTTGTAATAGGAATCCAGAACAAAAACCCAGTGGACAAAATCACAGCCTCTTATCACAAAAATGGAGAAAATCCAAGTCTCATATAAGATTAATTAATAAGATTAGGCATAAAAGCCATTTGTCTGTATTTTATATTATGATAACATAACCTCATCTAAGAGTGAAGAGGAATTCCTGCAAGGTGTTGGAGCATTCATTTCAAGTGATCATTCGTAATTATGGCGCTTAAATCTGTGAGCATGAAATAAGTGTATATATTGGATATTATTATTGTTTCAATATGATGTTAAAATTTGAATTAAAAATTCCTTGAATTTTCAATGTTAAATTTGTTTCTTTTTATATCTGAGACTTTTATTTGTGAAACTGGAATTTTGTCCACTTTTGGGATAAGAGGGATTTTGTTCACTGGGTTTTTGTCCTGTTACATTTGTATAGTATCTGAGTAGGAATATCTTAAAAAAAAAACTAGTATCCTTGCTGACTGACAGTTTACTAAATAAAGTGATTACTAGTTAACTGATTATTAATGAAAGAAAATTAAACCTGTAGTTAGTCCCTATAAAAATAAAATATATAAACAAAACTAAAAAGAATTCAAATTAAAATAATGCATTTGTGCTTTCCTTTAAAATGCTTATCTCTTTCTTTTTCTCTCTCTCTCTAAATTTCTCTATATATACTTCTCTCTCAATTAGCAAGAAGGCAACCCTCAAATAAAAAGAGAAAAAAGAAGAAAAGAATGAACCCAGCTAAAAAATGGCAGAAGTTTGTGGGAACAGAGCCTACTTATTTATGACTATAAATCTACCAAAATAAGACAGGTTCTGTGCATAATTTCTACTATATAAAAAAAACTGAAAAACAAAGGAACACTGGAAAATATAATAATTTGGGCCAATCAAAAAAATATAAACTCACAGCTCTGAGCTAGAAGAGAAGAGACAGCAAGAGAAACCACAGAACAAGAGATGCAATCGTGAAAGAAACCAGCCATGTGTGACAGGTGAAGTAGTTAAGAGGTTATCTGCTAATGATAATTTCTACCCATCCATCTTAGGGCCAAGAAAAACACAGTTGATTGATGCTAAACTATTTCTAAGACTACTAGCAATATCTGACTTTGAAACCGCCTGCTTGAGAGCCAAAATGAACTTTCACCAGACTGCTACCAATATCCACCTTATAAACGTAATTGAGTTTGGTGTTGCTTACCAGTTTGAAGTGGAAGGAATTACTACTTGTTATGACTGAGGTGGAAAAATTTCAAAGTTGTGGGTTATCCCCATAGCTTTTTTGCCAAGAAGTCACGAGGTAGTGTGCTTACATTCACATCGCATTGAAACACCAGTTCCTGTATGTTCACTGAAGTTAAGCAACATCAAGCCTGGTCAGTACCTAGATGGGTGACTGCTTGGGAATACCAGATTTTGTAAGCTTGAATGTGCGGGTGGTGTAACAGATGATGGCTCAGAATTGTTAATCGTAGAGTCATATTTCAGTTCCAGTTGAATTCATTATATACACTTACACACAAATACCTTTGGGAAAGGTATGAATCTACCTAATCTCCTCCCAGCTATGGGTTAATTAGTAGAATTAGTATCACTAAAACCATTATTATCCTCAAAAAAATAAAATAAAATTGCATACAAAATATATAGATTTTGGCATTAAATAACCCATAAAGATGTTGATATACCTCTAAACAAAAAGAATCATTAGGTAGGACTGTAAAGCACCAATAAAAATGGGACACTTCCTATCTTCATCCTCTTGTCTCTCTTTTCCTTATAGTATATGGTAGAAATGAAAATACCAACCAGGACTTCCCCAGACATGGTAATATGTTTCCCTTTAGTAACTGAACATTTTCACACACACACACACACACACACACACACACACACACACACACACACACACACACAGGAATTATGTAAAGGATACACACACGTGTATCCTCTACATAATTCCTAACTTGTAATGTCTTCCCTCTTTTGCATGCATACTTGTATATTTTCTCACTTTTTGCTTGGTTATACATAAAAATAAAATTCTTATAATGGTGTGGGACTTCAGGGTTAAAATGTACAATTGATTTACAGATGCCAAGAAGGTTAATGATGGAGGATAATGATGAGGAAACATGCAGTTAATTTTAACAAAACAAGATAAGGAATTTATTTATAAATTTTGCACACTTGAAGTTGTGTCAGTAGCTCATTTCAGGAAAATAAATCAGAAATTTTGAAAGTCCGTTGTTTCAATGAATTGTCATGAAGAGGAAATGTTCATACAACAGATTAAATGATCTGACACAAAATAATATTAAAAAATGTTTAAAATAAAGGTAAGAAAGTTCATTGCTCGTTGAAAGAATATATGGCTTGTATATGTTCAAAAGTATATGAAGAGAGATAGTTTGAAATACTTAACGTTCTTGGATTGTTGAAATAAAGTCTTTGTAGTGCTAAATGCTTGGTTAAGGCCGATAATATAATTAGCGAGTAATTTGATACTATCAAAAATATGCACACTGAATGTGTGAACAGAAATGAAATTTTTCCCGACTTTAGACACTCTTCTCTTGTTAATTTAATTTTTTTTCTTTATTTTATATCAAAAGGGATTTTTGCATTGATGTTTTATTTTCTTTCTTTTTCTAGGTTCAATGGCTTATTTCTGTGAAGGCAAGGTTTTCATTGGTCCAAAGAAAATTTCACAAATGCTCACAAATTTCTTTCCCTCTTTTTCCTCAGCTCACCCAAATTTGAAGGAAGTGAATAAAGGGAGTTGTTATTATTTCGTACTCACTACCCTCTGAAATATCGCCTAGTTGAAATTGTCACATCCATTTCCTTACACCTGTCATTTACATGTGCAAAATATTGTTGCTACTGCTTTTGGTCTAACTAGAAGCAGTGATTGCAACATTTGGTGACTTCTTGATGCAATCTCAACATGTACCTACTGCAACATGATTTAACAAAAAACAAAATTGAAAACACTGACAGAAGAAAAAAAAACATGATTTTAAAAATATCACAAAAAGAAATTTTTTTCACTCAATACAAGGCCTAAGTGCCACTCAAGGTAGCGGGTTATTGAATGGAGAAGTTGTAAGGGTGTATAGGGAGGAAGCAGGGAAAAGTAGCATATTTTGAGGTTCCATGCTTTCCAGCCAAATTTGATCTTTAAAAATTGCAATGTTAATCATTATCTACTCTATTCTTGATTACTCTTTTATTGTTCTCTATCTTTAATAATGTTTTTGTTTTCTAATTCACTTTACCAAAATACTACACAGACATACATGCATATATCACCCACATAATTCCTTTTTTTCTCTCTTTTTACTCAGTTATATACAAACCAAAATATAAAATATTAAAAAAGTACAACACTTTCTGTCTCCATCCTCTTCTTATTCCTTTCTTCCCAGTATGCTGTAGCAACAACATCCACAGGATCTTGTTCATGAGCATGGAGACATTTTTTCCCTCAGTGACAGAACTTTAGTCACAAACACCCCACACACACACACACATCTCCCACATGATTCCGAACTTGTAATTTCTTCCTTCATTTGCATGCATACTCATGTATTCTCTCTCTTTTTACTCACTTATATAAAAGCAATTAAAATATAAAATATCACTTTGTTGAAACTCACTTCATTTTCTTACACTCATCATTTACTTGTGCAAAATATTGTTGTCACTGCTTTTGGTCAAACTAGAAGCAGTACTCTCAACATATAGTGACTTCCTGACATGATTTCAATATGCAAATACTGTAACAAAGTAAATGAATTCAACACATAGAGGAATATCATACATATTATATTATAACTGAGTAAATAATTATAAAACCCCTAACATTTGTATATATACAAAAAATACTCATAAAAATGAGAAACAGCAATACGTGAAAACAACAAAACAAGTATTATTTATTATCTTGTTGTTTTGTGGTGTTGAACACACAAGAGACAGTAATACTGAGTAAAAGTTTGAATTTAGGGTCAAATGTGGATCAAATATGGATTGGAATCCAACACAAGGATAAGATAAAGAATAAGCAAAATGTACACAGTCTTTCTCGTATGTTTTTTTTTTTTTTTTTATAGAGGTGTGTAATGTGTGTCCGGATAATTTAGAAAAATACAAGAAGTGTCTGGGGTTTTCTTACCTCAAATTGCTGTTGAACACTAAAAGAATGTTATTATTATGGTCTGAAAAAGGAAAAGGAGATAAAATTTTAGTTGACACACATGATAATGACCCATCTGTGTGAACTGCTTGCCTTATAGTGAAAATATCATATGTTTATGTGCATAGAGGAGAAAAGTGGGGTTGATTCTCTTTGGTTTAGAATGGGTGAATTAATGATAATTATAATTGTTATAATTATTTTTTGACACTCTAATTCATTTTTATTCATTTATTTTTTATGGACGTGACACAGTGATAGTATACTTAATTTTATACATATATATCTATTTCATACATATATATATATATATATATATATATATATATATATATATATATAGAACATATCATACAAAAGAAGAGAAAGAAAAATTATCTTTGCAAGTATACAGATAATTAAAAAAAGAAAACATTTATTTATTTAGCCATTGTGTGTGTGTGTGTGTGTGTGTGTGTGTGTGTGCGCATGTTTGAGGATTCATGTGGTTTGTTTGAAATTAGCTAGTCTGTTTGCAATTGGGAAATCTCCCTCAGTAGAGAGAAATTTTATGTCATTACTACTACATCTAAGTACAGAAAAAGAGTGATACTGTTTATGTGTCTTCCTTATAGTGCTGAATAAAATGTCACTTAGCAGGCACCCTGGCAGACAAGGTGGGCAACTCCCACATATATTACCAATACAAGGATCATAATAAAACACAGCTTCAACATAGAATTGTAAAATGTTTTAAGCTAGTTATTTTTTGTGTTTTGTATCTTGTGTAGTTTGGAATTAAAGTTAAAGATCAGATATGAATCTGTTGGGTTAACTTTTCTTCTTCTTCTCTAATTAGTATACACCACACTTAGCTAATCATATGACTCATAATGGCCAATCAGTGAAGCCTTGTCTATACAGATGGCAGTTTGGTGGTAGACTGCACAAAAAAGAAGATGCTTTATTGACATATGGTTAAAACACAGCCTCTTGCAACATGATGTACTGGACTTGTGAGTAATGATAGCTTTTGAATCATCCACTAGATTTCTTGTTTAGGATTGAAGAAAAGGTATATAATATATTTCTACACTTGCTAGTTCTCTTTCTAGAGAATAAAAACTTCATTTACATTCTTCTAACTGCTCCTTAGACATCTTCATTTTCTTTTATTTTACCTGTATGGGGAAATATCTGCACCAAAGCTGGTAAATCCAATATTAATTGGTGACCATGACACACTCTGAACTTACAACCTTTTCATACATCAAGGCAAAAGGCACTTCGGTGTAGTGTAATGGTTAGTATTCCACTGGGCTTCGGATATCAGTGTTGGATAAAGGACTTCTTGATAGTGTATTATGTACAACTAGTGCCTTCTCTGGAACATGTTCAACTACTGGGTTATATCTTCTCAGTCTCATTAGAAGTCTTTGACATCACAATGGGGTATTGTACAGATCATGTATATTTATTAACAGTATAAGTGGTTTATGGTCTGTTAACAGTTTAAAGGATTCACGTCCATTGACATATCTGTCAAACTTCTCACATGTCCATGCACAACTGAAACACTCTTTCTCAATTTGTGCATATTTCCTCTCAGCACAACTGAGTGTGTGTGAGGCAAATGCTATTAGTTTTAAATTTCCATCTATTTCTTGAAATAGAACTGCTCCAAGACCATAGCTGCTAGCATAAGTGCTCACAACTGTAGGTCTGGTTGAATCATAGTAGGATAGAATTGGTGCTTGAGTTAGTAATTCCTTTATTCTTTTATGTTGTGTCGGAAACCTACCACCCCTCTTGAAGATGAACTTGTCTGCGAACAAAGACTTTAAATAGTGGCATGTCAGAGAGACTGAAAGACAAAGAAGTTCTTAGCTGAGCTAGTTATTGACTACTCTGGGGATTCTGTACCTTTTTACCAACCTATTAAAACCCTTTTTATTGTTACGTGTTATTTGGCGTTTGTCTCTACTAACCCCAAATCAACATCATAACAGTGGCGACGAGAGATTCGTTCATCACGCTGAGTGGAGAATTTTTCAAATCTAGGTGGACTATATAAATTTTTTTTTCTCGCTCTGAAAAAAAAAATACGTCGAACTTTGTTCTTCATGAAGAAATGGGATTTCAACGAGCCAAAAAAAAAGTAAGACTTGTGCTTATTTTGGATATATACGTGTTTTTCCCTTTTTTGTCTGTTTTCGAAAAGTGTTTTGTGTAATCTATTAC